CAGGATCTGGCACATAGTTGGTACACGACGAATGAGTCAATGTGAATCCTAAACATCCCTCGTGTCACCTCTCATCCCCACTTTACTAACCTTTCCAGGCTTATTCAGTAGCTTCCTAACTACCGCCAGGCTTTGCTCCTTCTAACCCTTCAACTGTCTTCACAGTTCTTTCTAAAGCACAATTCTGATGAGGTGTCTGTTTTAAAACCTTCTGTGGATCCCCATTGCCAAAGTCCTCTGCAAGCTTTCAACGCCCTTTACAATCTAGCCTCAAATACCTTTCGTGTTTAATCTTTGAATGCTTCGTCTACTTTTAAGTTTCTGGACCATCGTTCGTGCCGTTTCCTCTGCTGAAAACTAACCTAACTATTCTCTTCCGCGCTCCACAGGACTCTGTTTCTACCGTGACTAGAGCGTCCCTCCCACCATACCACACTTGCCTACATAACTCCTGCTTTTACCTCCCCCATCCAACCCACACCACCCTACACTGCGAGTCCCTTCAGTGCAGGAGTCCTGTTATATTCACCGCTACATCCACGCTGTACGGCTGCATGGCATATAGCAGGTGCCCACATGGCCTCTGAGTGTAAAAAAGATGCCCAGGTTAATTGTAAACAGCCATAGAAGATTAACAACAAACCAAAGAAAAAAAATGACCAAAGTGGAATGCGTGCTCAGTAATCCACGGACATTAATAACTCAACAAAAAAGGTCAAGTACAATAAACTGAAATTAAAATGCTCTCCTAAGTATCTCCTGAGACTTGGTGAGATGGGCATGGTGACTGAGAGATACACCTTGTTTAAAATAACTGCAACAGCAGTAATAATTGCCAGCATGTATTGAGCACTTGATTCAGTTACTATGTGCTAAGTAAGTAACATGTATTACTTACTGTGTTCTTCACTATAAAAGTACGACTACTATTATCCCTGTTTTATTCACAGGAAAACAAAACAACAAAAATCAAAGGCATGGAAAGTTAAGAAACTCACCAGAGTTCACCCAGCTGCTCTGAGTAAAGCAAAAATTCAAATGCAGGCTTTCTGACTGCACAGCCTTAAGTGAACTATTATGACAGACCACCTTTTTCCCAAATGACTGGTACAGCAGAAAAACTAAAAAATGTCAAGATGTACACTTATTTGGACAAATAGGACCCTAAGGTCCAAAGCATGGCAGAGAGCTAATGGATGAAGGGTAAAGAGAGTAAAAGAAAAATTTCAATATTGTGGATGCATGATTCTGACGGCCGAAAAAGCTACACATCATATCACAGACTGTGGGACTAGCACAGGGGCCAAGTATAGTAGTTTTGAGAGGGGACTTCAATGCTGTTGGTGCCTGCCAAAAGTCTCACTCTCTAAAAAGTGAGTCTGACAAATTTTTGAACAATCTTCCTGACAATTTCAATGCTCAGTAGGAAGGAGACGATTGTAGGCAACAATAAAAGGAGCAGACACTCTGAACTTATTTTAACCAGTAAAGAGACACTGCTTGATAAAAAGCAAGAGGAATATGTAAAGATAACCTGGTAGAGAAATTAAGTATGACTTATCTTCCTGTGGGATCATAGGACTGAAAATGAGAAAGAATAAAGAGGCAGAGGTATTTCTCCCTCACTCGTAATTCCCCCCCCCCCCAACCAAAACCTAGTATGTACTGAACTCCTGGTGTGATCCAGATGTACCTTGCATAGGGCGCTGGTCACAAGTCAGCAGTGGGGCTCTGGTTATGCAGGGCCAATGCGAGCGGGAAAGCAGCAGGAAGGAGACCGTAAGGCAGAAAGCAAAAGGCAAACTTCACAAACTTCACTTCAAGTTCAAACCCCAGGTGTGCCTCTTATAGTCTGTGTGACTTTGACATGTCTCTCAACCTCTCCATTTCAAGTTTCCTCACCTGTAAACGGGGATAATACTACCTTCTCAGGGTAATAGTTAAATGAGACAATGATAACAAGCACTTAACTCAGGGCCTTGTGTGCAGGTGGTAAGCACACAATAAATGTCAGCCGTTAATATTATTGTTACCTTGTAAGATATTTCTCTGTGGCGCATTAACCTTGGGATCATCTCTCATTTTCTACAATGATCTGCTTGCTGTTACTCCCACCAAATCTTCAGGGCACATAATGCAAACCCTGACAGCAAAATAAGTAAGGTGATCCTGCCCTCATTTTCATGTTGATGTTTCAGGGCAATCCAACTGAACAACACACATTTACAAAGCCCTAAAATGTCACTGTGCTCGGCTGAGCTGGACAAGGGCAAAAGGGTAGTCTGAGTAAAAGACAACACTGCCTTCAAGAATTACACGATATCTTTCAGGAACAATGAGAAACTACCACTAATTTCCCCTAAATGAGCTGCAAAGGTTAGACTGAAACGCAGTTGGCAATGACAAGTAATCCCCAAAACAGCCACAGAAACATGTCTTTGGTGTTTTCAGATGTCTTTGGACTGATCAATCAGTCCAATTTTTAAGAAATGGATGATTCTCTGAGAACTGCACCTCGCAGCAAATAGTGGATCTTATCTGGGCTGGTCTTTAAAGTCAGCCATTCTGGGTTGTGTACGTTTATTAAGAGAATACAAGGAAAAAAAAAAAAGGAAATGAAGTGTTTAAGCATGAGATGTTACGATACAGATAATGGGGGAAAAAAATGCATGAAAGAGTATCTTGTTCACCTCTAGCACATGAAGTGGTACTAGCTTAACGTGAATGAGGAGAGCAAGCCTGGCTTGGAAATAATGGAAAGATTTTTTTCCCCAAAAATGTAAAGAGCTTTATTTACTTCTTCTTATAAAAGTCATACATACTCAATGCTAAAAAAAAAAAAAAATTACAAAATTGTGAAAAATAAGGAAAATCATACATAATCTTCTCAGAGATCATCAGAGCATTTTGATTTTTCTCCTTCCAGACTCTTCTAAGTATATATTTATATCAATTACTTTTTTTCAAATATGGGAATAACACCACACATGCTGTTTGATACTTTTGCTCCCACACTTCCATGTATCATACTCATCTTTCTACCTAACCCAGAATCCCAAAATCAAAGTCACAGGGCAGTTTTCTGTAGGTACATTCCCTGACACCATAAGAACATGAAAAAAGGAAATGCAGGACACAAAACTTGGACTAGAAGACCCCTACGGTCTGTTACTGCTATCAGATTGCACAGGTCTACTCTGAGACTAGGCTGGGAACAGTAGAAAGTTTCTCAGGAGACGGGGCTGCCTGCAGGGGGAGGGCAGAGTTTATGCTCCCACAGCCTACCTGGTTGTGGACCCCGGGTCTGCAGTAACACACGCACGCTGAGGCCTCCGCACTGAACACCTGACTCTGAAAGCCCTGCTGCCCAGCCTCAGAGCCTCTCAAGCAATCTCCAGTGGGAGTCTGCAGAAGAGCCCCTCGGCTTACGGGGATCCTGGAGGACACACTCTTCTTCCGCCCCTGCACCCTGGACTCAGAATCACTTGGGGTTGGTAATTAAACAGTTTTGTTCACCATGTCACTTTCCCAAAGCACAGATTCATCACTCAGTTTAAACCGGAATACTAATCCGCATTAACTTCTCACAACTTAGGAGGAGCATAAAAGTACCTTTGCTGAGGAAAAAAATTAAAAGTTGCCCAAAAGACAAATTTTATCTACTTTACAATTTTGCTTAAGGAATGTGGCATAAAGGAGTGAGGACTATATCACCAGACAGTTTTAATGTGGGAACTCAAGACAGCAGACTTAATATGCTGACTAATGGTCCCAGCTACAGGAAAAAAAGAAAAACATGGTTAAAAAAATAATTAAAATTTAAAAATAAATAAAGATAGCTGATATGAGGAAACAGTAATTAATTTTCTACTGTTCCTGGGCGAAAGAAAGGATAAAGCTAAGGAACTCCATTTTTCCTTAACCAAACTGTGAGTACAAAATGCTGCTGATGTGTGCAGAAAATACCTTAAAACAAAAAGTCAAGGGTCCATAAAATAACGTGTGAATTCTGAACCTGTTAAAGTCCAGCAGGGTCTAAGCTACAGTTAGCACCACACTCTCTCAGGCAGAGGGGAGAGGACATGCAGAAGTAAAAGATGCATTAAAAAATTGAGTTTGTTTTATGTAATCTTTACTAGTAAATTACTAGTACTCTGTCAGAACCTTATAATAAAGGTAACTGTGCATACACAATTGTACACAGTATGTACATCAAGAGACCATGTAGAAAAATAAGAGGAAGATGTCATACCTGGGGCGCTAACCTAGAGAGGCAGGGACTCCCCTGAGAGCTCTGTAGGAGACTAAAGGACAGAGAATGGGGTTTAGAAAGATAGAAAATAGTGAAAGCAGAGCCTATGTCATCACCTGGAGATGGAGTACTTCATCCCTAGTTATACTGTAGGTCTTTACTGCTGGTAAACTCTGTTTCACAAATGCTACTAGTGAAATTGTCCAAAAACAGAAGATGTGAATAAAGTAGGTTCATCTTGAAGCTATTTAGATTAGATATTAACCACTGTTCAGAAAGCCCCTACAATTTAGGCTAAAGCTTAATATCCCGTTGGGATCATTCATGTGTCAACATTTATTGCCTATTCTGTGCCAAGCAATGGTTAAGACGCAGGTACATAAAGAAGACACAGTTCTTGCCTTCTAGTCTATAAATCAAACAGATAAGGAAATCAGTATTTACAACCACGGGATAAATATATGACATACAGCAATGCTCAATAAACACTGAGTGGCTAAATCAATACTATAATAGAAGTGTGCACAAAAAAGGCGGAGGGGGGGGGCCTTCCAAAAGGACAGTTATCCCTCTGCCATAACACGGATGACCCTAACAGTTTACTATCTTGTATACTTATACACAGAAACCGTCTCTTAAAGAATAAACAACTAGTGAATAGCATAACATACAGGAGCTACCAAGGTTCATGACACGAAAAGGGGAAAGAGAACAGCAGTCAGGAAAAATATTATCACTCATCTTACATAGAATATTTTAATTCTTGTCCTCAGAAACTATAAAGACTATCAAGATTTGGAAACGAGACTGTACCAAACAATGGCCAAAGAAGAATCGTCCATGCTATGCCTTCTCTTTCGTCTGGTCACTCAGAAATATAATGTTATCTGTAAAGAAGCCAAAGCATAAATGTTATTTTCAGAATGCTTTCTCCATCTCATTTAATCATTCCCCTCTACCACATACATATTTTAGTGCTATTCACTGAAAAGACTTTAGACAAATTCTCAAAACATTATGTTCTTGCTATATTGCTTGCTATGTCCTTGAGAGGTATATACAATAGGCATAATGGAGCTAAAAGCTGGGCTTCAACTGTTTATCGACAGCTCAGACCTTGTGAGAAAAGGTGGGATACTTCTCATCTTCCCTGAAGATAGCTAAGGTCTTCTCAGTGATAACTTTCTACAGAAGAGCTAGTCACAAATCCTGATGCTTGCAGTGCTCAGACAGATGCCATTAAACCGGGGAGCACATCCTCACAGAGAAAAGGATCCCGGCAACACAGTCCAAAGGCTGGAGGGATGGAGGAAGGACAGGGTTCAACAAACGGCCCCATCGCACAGACAGACTTATTTATGTTTTTTAAGTCTGAACACTTATATAGAACACATTTTATTTTTAAATTTTAAAACAGAATTTTTATATATTCACTCTTGAGAAAATTTTTACTAATCAGTGTTTCAGAGAGAACACTTTTATCCAAAAACATCAGACATTGCTCTTAAAATATTGTGCAGAAAGAGTTAGTTTAGGACGAGCAAAGGAAAAGAAGTGGTATCTCCCGTATAAGACCGCAAGATCTACATTCTTAAAACTTCAGAATTATTCAAAAACGGTTGTTATATAGTAATTGAATGTTTGTCAACGACTGTAGTCTTCTAAAACTAGAATGTTTTAGAACAGAATGGTTAGTATTTTAGAAGACATTATCAGAATTGACATCACTGTGTAAAAAAGACAAGTGTGCCACCTGCTGGTGGTTATTTTTAAGCTACATTGATCCAAAGGAGAAAAAAATATGGCCTATAAAACAGATAAGCCAAATTAAAACTCTATTCCCTTCCATTCTAATGTCACTAAAGACCTGTTCAATTTTACTATTAGCCATAAACCTACGTTAACTGCTTAATCATTCATGCTAGTGAATACTGGTGACAAGGAAAAAAAAAGGCAGATAATTTGAAATGCTTCTATTTGGCCTGGTTTATAACAATTCACACAATCCAAAATTTGCCCTCACAATAGGTTTACAGTGGAATATGAAAGTGTTAAATGCTTCATAAATACATGATCAATAGATTTTAAACTGTCAACTATTTTATGAGAAAGCTTGATCCTCCACTGCTGAAATCACAGGGTAGTTCTATACCATATACAGGTCTAGAAAAAAATTTTTGAATAGGTAGATACGTCTGGAGGCTTGACCCAAGGAGGAACAGGGCAGGCAGGAGGTAGTTTACTGTCAAAACACTCAAGAATTATGTAAGCAAACCGGTCAGAAAAAACCTCATCTAAGTTATCAAGGTCAGTATACTTTCAAAGAAACCAGTAAGAAAATATACGATTATTATTTACAACAAATTATAATTTATCCATATGGCACAGTAGTTAAGACAAACTCTGGAACAAGTGAAAAGAGAAAGATAAGAGGAAAATCTGTCAATTAGGAGACTTAAGTTGTCAGACTTTTCGCCTCCGGAATTGTGCGAAAATTCATTTCTGTTGTTTAAAAAAAGAAAATAAGAGACACTTAAGATACATATAAACCATGTAATATGATGTATGGACTGGTATTTATGAAGCAGTCACAGAAATTCCAATACTACGACATCTGGTAAAAAAAAAATTAACAATAATTTCTTAATATTAGGTGTGATAATAGCACTATAGTTATGTTTTAAAAAGGAATCTATCTTTCAGAGATACCTACTGAAATATTTATGGATGATATAATGTCTGAGATTCCCTCAAAATAATCCAGGTGGGGGAAAAGGGGGCTGGGTCATAGATGAAATAATATTGGCCATCTGTTGATAATTGTTAAAGCTGCATGATGGGAGTTTTCGTTTCTTACTATTCTCTCTCCTTTTGTGTATGTTTGACATTTTCCATAATAAAAAAATTAATTTTTAAATGGTATCTAATTTGGGCATACCTCAGAAGTTCATAAATATTGAGATACTACTATAATAAAAGTTCTTTTATTCCCATCTACTTATTTATCAAAACAAGGTTTCTCAGTTTTTATATCGATAAAAAACAAGAGAACAGAATGAATACTTCTTTAGCAATTTATCCAAAAGGCAAAAAATGCATCATCTATCTCATTAAGATACATTTTCAATAAAATTTTAGTTTGTATACATATATACTAAAGTTGTTTTGGTCAATTATCTTCTAAAAACAACTGTAATGATAACCCAATTCAAGGAGAAACCTAACATTTAGAGCTCTACTGTTGCAGAATTTTTTTTAATATTTTTAAATTTCTATTTATGCATGTAACTTTTGTTACAGTTAATTGAATGAATGACAAGAGTCTTGACTATACAATATATTAAGGTACACTTCTGGGGAGAAAATGAAATTGAAAAACAAGTTCAGAGAAAAGGGAATAATGTAAGATTTCCAAATGTTGAGGAGTTTGTATCTTTTTTAATGATGATGGATACCAAATTGCTATAATATTTTGATCCATTAATACCTTTAAGAGTAACATAATTTTATATTAAAAAAATTTAATGTCAACTTGAACATGTTCAAAGGGGTATATTATTTTCAAAATCCTTGTAGAATTTTCAGAAAAGTTTGAAAACTCTGCTCTAGAGGATATCTTCTTAACCTCCTGAAGCTTCATGTGTCCATCTTTTCTATGTTGTTTTGTATTTTCTTTAATGAGAACAAAAGGAATTTAAAACAAAATCATCATGTTAAGTACCAAACAGGTTCTGAACAAATCTGCTCAAATGTCTAACGCCACTCACTTTAGTATAACTCTGTCTCGACACATGCTTTTCCCTGTTTAGGCCATGTCCTTCAAATACACTAAAGGTTTTCTAAGTCCAAATAATAAGTACTGGCATAGACAGTTCAACTGATAAGTTACTTGTGAACTAAAACTGTGAGTACAGAGATAATTTTCTAAAGGAAGAGATAAATGTAGAAACCTGGAGCAAGCCCACAAACCTCACTTGGAATTCTCCTGGTGAAGTGCCTTACAATCTCATTGGCATCAGTACTAACAGCCTCAGGTAAAGTTACAACACAGCCAAGCTTTCAAAAAAGGAAAGGAGGAAAAAAAAAAAAAGATAGCTATTATCACAAGAACCTTACCAGCTATAATTGTTGTTGCTTGTCGTCTCACATTATTTTTATCCATATATTCACCATAGTCTACTTTCCCTTCCACATAAATTCGAGACCTGATATAAATAAAATTTACAGTTTTTAGTCTGGAGATTCTAATGTACTTTACAGGAGAGAGTCAGGTTAGAGAGGGTAAGTATACATTAAGGATGAAACAGATAATCATACAGAACCTCATTTTTGCTACCACTTCTCAAAATTCAGAATTAAGAGTACTGAAACAGAGAGTTCCCTTGTGGCCTAGTGGATTCCTAAGGAATGATAGCTCTAGGATTCCAGGCTTTTACTGCCAGGGCCCAGGTTCAATCCCTGGTCAGGGAACTGAGATCCCACAAGCCACATGGTACAGCCAAAAAGAAAAAGTAGGGAAACAGAATGTGCACAGACTTGCCACACCTAGGAAAAAGGACAATGTTTTTCATCCTTGAGCTAACTGTGGTCCTTATGAAAGTTAAAAAAAAAAAAAAAAAAAAAAAAGCTGTTCAAAATTTTAAGCCAAAATTAAAAAAAAAAAAAAAAAAAAAGCAACCTTAAGACCATGAAGAGCAACCTAGTGGCATCCTTTAAATCTCTATGGTGAATTTCCAACGTGTTATTTTCTGTCACCACTGATTCTGGATTCTCTAACACATTTGTTGATTTTTTCATTTATTTTTTAGTTAGTTCCTTTCTATATTAAGGTTCATAAACTTACTCTCAAAAGACTTAGATTATGAAAATGCAAAATTTTCAGCTTTAGTATTTCACTCAGAGTTAATTACTAAGACTATACTGCACTCTCTAGAAGGCTGAACTAGAAGACAACTGTAACTCTGATTTCAAAGAGTAGAAAATGGCCATAATGACACCAATTTTCAGAGTCTAACACCACCAAAAATGTACAATACAGAACATAGACAAGACTGGTAAAATGACTGGGTGCCAAGGGGAACAGTCACACAGATTCATCAATCAGTAGGTGAAATTGCATATAGACATCTTCCTTGAAATTTCCTGTGTTTATATGCATATATATGCACATATCATACATACATGACAATGGAGGTATATATGAAGAAAAGGTATGCACTTATTTTAAAAAATAGAAATTTTAGTTACTGCTGAAATTATTTTACATGAAATGTTTTATTTCTATCAAACAAGTACATTTCTAAATATACTATGACTACAACTGCTGTTAAACACATCCTTTTGTCCTTCTGTGGGTTTGGAAAAGATATTTTTTATACATAATCAATCCAAGCATTCCAAAAGGGAACTACTAAGCTTACATAAAATTATCAAATATGAAATAACTGCTGTGAATATTACCATAATACCTCACTGGGTCAGGCTTCTGACATTCCAGACCCTCTGTCAGGCCATCGTGTGATGCCAAGAGGCAAGACATCTACCTTCAGGATCCCTGGCCATGGAGGCACTTGCTCACATGGTACTTGGTACACTTTGCCTTCTCTCTTACCTCATCTGCTCCATTTAAGTACACATCCTCTTTGCCCTAAATTATAAGTTCTTAAAAGGCTAAACCATGTTAAAACCTTTAAATTAGTCACATATGGCAACGTGCTATGTTTATAGTATTAAGCATTGCTTGAATACCTCTTGGGTTAACACAGAGTAATTAGTGGTACTACATAAATAAAGGAGCTATGCAGTCCATGAGAACATGTTACCAGTTTCTTAAACCAACGGTCCCCAACCTTTCTGGCACCAGGGACCAGTTTAGTGGAGATAATTTTTCCCTGGACGGGGGTGGAGGGGGT